GTTTTATTGGAGGTTATTTATAGTTGAGGAAGAAATGTCCAACTTCACACTGGAAGTTAAGGGCAACATTTAATGCACTGTTAGAAAAACCATTTGACCAGATCACATCCTTCTGAAAAGCCACAGGATCCTAGGAACATGTGGTTTTGTACAGGGATCTCTGTGATTAAGGAATTAAGTAAGTTGTTTCAGCCTGCCCCCAACTCAATCATAGTCCAGGAGAGTTTTTTCTTTTACTTTTGATCAGTTTTCCTCCTTCATCTCAAATCAAGAGATTCTGATAGCAGGGTAACAGGACTACAGAGAGGTGATTTTTAAGAGATCACATAATTGTAAGCAAGTAACTCGTCGAACAATGAATAATTCTGGGATTTTATGCCGTGCAGTTAGTAGGACAAATCTCTGCTAAAGGGAACTCTGTGAAGCAGCACTGTGGGCTATGGTTGCTGAAGCAGTAGAGAGGGCACTGAGGAAATAAAAGTTTATGGATTCAAAATGGTACAACATCCACATGCTACTAAGAGCAACTGGAGGTTAATTCACCAGTCTACGCCAGCGACTCACACCCAAACTCCCTTGTCAAACTTAAATGGACTTAAAAAAAGTGTCACTTATCTAATGCCACATTAAAAGGTTTTGGAGAATATCTTGATTAAGATAGCTTCTTTTCCGTCTCAACACAATTAGAACTGATTTATCTCAAAGGAACATCAATCTGATTACTTAATCAGCCCGAAGTCACTCACTCATTTACACAAAAATGTCTTATGTTTTCCTCTGTGCCGGGCACTGGGCTAGGTGCACAATGGGGAGCTTGATATTAAAAAAAGAGTAAACGGGCTGTTATTCCCAAGAAAGTATAGAAACACGGCTGGTGAAGCAACAGAGGAAAAAAAACACAGCTAAGTCATGTTGGTAATGAACACACCTTTCAAAAATAAAAACTACTGCTTTAAATTTACTTTAGTAAATTTTGGAGTTTACTGGGTTTCACACCTAAATAATTTACAAATTTCCCTATTCACAATATTAATTTGCTCAGCAGCCCTGCTCTAAAACCTGACACGATATGTTTTCTTGAGTTTAAATGCCTGTGTAATGCAAGATAAAAGAGGCTGACTGATTCTTAACTTTGACAAACAACAAATAAAATACTTTAACTGCTGTTATTTAGAAAACAAATTAAAGTTTAGTGATACCCAGTGTGAAGTAAGAATTGGAATAAATAGCATTATCATGCACGGATGGAGAGAAGGGAAGAAAATGCGCGGCCTCATTCTTTTTCAGAGGGAGAAAACCCACAGAGCTAAATTATATACACAATTCCCACAGACATCCATCTGTGATACAGGGTCCTACTCTTTCTAGATGTAAACGCTAAAAAACTGCTATTTAAATAGATCTCAGGTAAATACCCACTGAGGAAATCAACCTGTGTTCAGGGCTATTTTAAACCTCTAATCAAACATGGATACATTTATTTACTTACCATATGATAAGGATCTGGAATTTCTAATAACACACAGTTCCTGTGATAACACCAGCTGCTATGCAAAACTGGTTAAGTCTAATCTAGAACCAATCCAGGCAGGTTACTGACAAAAAGGGGTGTGTGTGTGTTGTGTGTGTTTGTGTGTGTGTGTGTGTGTGTGAAAGACTTTTGGAAACAAAAAAAAAAAAACCAATTTGAAACTTGTTTGGTTTTGATGTCTTCAATCAGAGGAAATTCACACAAAACGATGAAATAACAACTATAAAATTACCTCACGAAGAGAAGTGGTTTCCCGAATAAAAAACATGTTAATTATCCCAAGATATTTCGTTATTTTTGCTCCAGGAATGAAAGAAAGGGGTGTCATTTTAACGACCCCAACTGTAGAATTGGCACAAGGGGGCGAAGAACGATTCCGGAAATTTCCTTCACCCACTGGACTCGCTTTTTCGACTGTCACAGCTGAAATGGGAGAGAAAAATAAAAAAAAGAATCAAGATCATATGCTGGTAATTCAATTATTCCTTAAGGTTTCCAAATAAGCGGTGACAACATTCAGCTATCTGTGAGGCTAAGCCATGTCATGAAAGAAAAGAAATTCTCATGCACTGCATGCAATTAAAAATAGAGAGAGAAAGAAAAACATAAGAGGAAAGGCTGGGATGGAATCTTTTGGAAGAAAAATGGCATTCCTGCAAAAGAAAATGTCGATGCGGTGTAGCTACACACACGATGATCGTTATTAAGTGAAGAAAAAGAAAAAGCAGTCAAGCATTAAAAATTATCTGCTGTGGGAACAAATCATTACAAGGAGAGTGTGAAAGTTGTTATATTTCCCAGTGCAGTTTTTTCCACCTTTTTTTCAGACATCTTCATCATTGTCAACTTGTAGATAAACCTTATCTTAACTAGTTGTAGTAGGTTTCTTTTCCAAACCTTCTTACTCAAACTCGTGATTTAAAAAAAACTTAACAAATGACCTGGGCTGTCTGAAAGTGGACTGTTCATGAAAGAATAAACAATAGCGACCACTTAGCGAATAACTACCATAAACCAGACACATATATGCATAATCCTCACAACCCAGCAACCTGGGTGTTACTATCCCCACGTTACACGTGAGGAAGCTAAGGCTCACAAAAGCTAAATAACTTGCCCAAGGCCACACAGCTCTTAAAACGGCACTTACAGGATTCATAACCAGATCTGGCTGGTTCCGTACCCTGTGATCGTCCCTCTCAAACACAGTTCCGTCCCTTTAATGTACTGTAAGTTCTTTTACTTAAATATATTTACCTCCAAATCTGCCAAAACACCTGGAGTATAAAGAACATACGAGTAATGACGCTGATTCTGGCAGTGAGATGAGACCTGACTACTTCCTCTCCTTTTTCTCACTCTGGATGTCACCCTTCGTAAACTGACAAACATCATTTACTCTCTAGCACCTTGGGTCCTGGAAGAGGGTCTCTTCCGTAAGGGACCTCGTAACTTCTTTCCAATAGACGATATACTGTCTATTTGTATACTTTTAAGAATACATTCACAAAAGGTAAAATTGTAAAAACACAAGCCCACAGTCAAAATGAACAAATCTAAAGGCCCTTCGGGAACTTTTGCTAAACGGCCAGCAGGGTCTGCAGCTTTCACACTCCAGCGCGTGGCTGATTGGCAATGTTATCACTGAGCAGTAAGGCTAGCCTTCACCACCGGGAAATCAGGGATGTGCTTCTCAGATCGAAACGTGGTAGAAACTTCCGCCTACTTGTCTTAATCGATCCGCGCCTTATGGTCTGAGCTTTCAGTTTAATGAGCTCTATCCAGCTGCTGCATCTGTCTGCAAAGGAACTGTAATCAACTGACGTCGCTGAAAACACAGACAGAAAAACAAAAGAAAAAAACAAAGAAAAAACATGGATGACGTCTCTTACTCGTCATAACACTGCTTCCGATGACGTAATTTAACTGTAACTTAAGGGGAAGAGGGTCCCTTTCAAGTCAGACAGGAGAAACGTTAAAGAGTCAAGCTTTAGACACTAATTTGTGCAAAACCACGTTCTCAGCTGGCAGAGCATCGCTGGTGATGTCACAGCTGTGTGGTCGCTTAGGAGGAAGGGAAGCGGGTCTAACAGCTCAGTGAAAGGACCGCACGCTGGGTTTTAACTAACTTCTTTCCCCACTCTTTTTACTTTACAATGTTTTAGCTGTTACAGTCACACAGGACTTTAATTTACAATCCAAACTTTGTGAATAATCCCCTTCCCTATTTCCATCCTAAAACCAAATATGAAAATGAGAACTGTATATTGAAGAATACATGAAAAAAATCACTAGTGAATTTATCTTTTATTAAAATACCTTCTTTCTACCAGCAGTAACAGAAAAGCCAAAGGGTTATTTTTGGGAATATTCTATTTCCATATCTGATTTTGGCAGCTAAGCTTCTGATAACATGGGGTGAGGGACAAGTGTGTACCTAACAAGTTCTCCTTTTAAGAAGAATAACTTTTACTATTACTGAAAAAATAGTACGAAAAAGCTAAAATCTTATTTTCAGAAACTGAGAAACTATTAAAATGCCAAAAAAAAAACCTTTAAATGTCAGTTTAATTAGTATTTTGTAAGGCACATTCCAACTACAACAGAGCCACACTTTGGTGTCTACTCCATTGTCCGGTGCATTTCTCCGATGTCCGTATGTTTCTGCACCAATCACACTAGAATTTCACACCTTTGGTGACTAGTTGCTTAATGAGACAAACTCACCTCTCTGTGCAGCTGGTATACCTGAGTTAGAACTTGCACTCTCCAGGTGTTCTAATAAGACAATACGAACAACATTAGCTTGGATGCTAAGAACAAGCCAGTTATCTCTTCTTTGCTCTGTTAATTCTCTCTATAAGCCAGGCGAATAGGAGGAAATCTTCACGGTGTCATTATAAAAGCAAATCAAATACGATATTTAGGTTTAAAACGCGGTTTCCATCGATACAGGAAAACTAGCTCAGTTAACAAACACCGTGCCAAGAAAGATGACTTGTTACTGTAACACGAAAAGCGTTTCAAAGACTCCAGAGACGTGAGGAAATGTCCACAGTAACAAATGTTAGTGGGATGGAAGCCACAGGGCGTGAGAACACGGAACAGAGAAGAGTCGATGCGCTGGGAAGGAAATCTGACAGGAAACATGGAAGGGAGATGTTTGTGGGAGGAAAGAAGCCAGTAAGATTAAAAATTACACACAAGGCAATGGCCCATGTCTCACAGATAAATACCAACTGCTCACCAGCCCAACCCACCCGTCACCACCAGCTCCTTTGCTGAAAGCCTTTCCTACCGACAGCCCTCTCTGGAGTCCCTGGACTCTGTGGGACGACAGGGTGACTGGTCTCCGCAGAAGTAACCAGGAATCCCGAACCAGAATCACTCGCTCTCCAGGAGCCTCACAAAAGCAGCGTCCTGAATTCTCCCTGATGTTTCATCTTGTTAGAATAGCTACTTAAGGAACTGCACGCACTTACACAGTACTACAAAGAAAACTCTGTAATCTGTTTCTAGTGCTCAGGCTCCACCCGCACTAGCATATTTGAATTTTCGTTTCAAGGGATTTTATAACCGAGAGAATAGTGCTGCCAAGGCAGAAATAGCCCATAAAAAACACTAAGAATATCTGGGTCAGCCAGGGTTTGGGTTTGTTTTTTTTTTAAATGATAAACTAAGTAAAAACATATTTTTGTCCCTGCTTCGTGTGTTGATCTTTTGGTCATCTTCCTCAATTCATAAAAGTTATACTTTTCAAAACTACAATTTGTACAGCACGTTTCTGCTAGCTGGGTGCAGTGGAAGTACCTACTGCCTGCACCCCCACCCCCATTTGTATAAGGCAAGTGACCACGAGCTAATACTGGAGAGTGTGCAGGGCCTGACACTCCTCTTACAATACAGAGCTGCCCAGTAAAAGGCATCACTGGGTGAGTCCACGAAGTGACTGTGAGGACGCGCCCTGACCGTCATGCCCTCAGACCGTACACCTAGACGGGGAGAGTCCTCCTGATTCAGGATCCTGAGGGGCACTGGAAGCCCAGGAGGAAGAAGACCAGGACAGAACTGACCGTCAGAGGCTTACCAGACCCCTAGGGACAGCTCAGGACCAAACAGACCCAGTGCAGAAGCTGGGGCAGCAAACGGCCCACCCCAGGCTTACATGCCCCAGCACTCTCATGTGTCCTATGCGGTGAGTACAGACTTACAGAACATATAGTTGGCATCAGGTATGCCATGAAAAGTTTAAAAAATGTGGGGACAGCAGAGAACAACTAAAAGCAAAAGTGAACATTACTAAAATGATCCTCTATACCTTGATACTGTCTAGGTAATATGAAATTCCCCAGTCACCAGTGTGTGTAAGTTAACGGCAAACGTCCACGGAAATAGTCTAGCCATGTAGAAGGTATCTGTTCCCATCTCTTACTGTGTCAAGTGGACAAAACAAGGGTATACAATGATCTGTAGAATATCTGTGTTTTTTTAAAAAAGGATAAACAGGGTATCCTTGCAAAGGCAGAGACGCTGTTAACGAGAGTTGCCTCTTAGGAAGGAAGATAGAGAGCGGAACTTTATTCTGGACTATATGATTTTTCATAGGATTCGACATTTTCACCATGGACACTTAGCACACTGATCACTTTTCCCAAAAAATTTTTTACAGAAGGTGGGGAAGAGGAGAAAAAAAGTGAGAGAAAATATTTATTCCCTGCCCTCAAGTATGAATGTGGTTGAAGTGAAATTTGAAAAGAATAAAGTTTTTACATTGGCGGCATGAAGGGAAAGGCTGAGGGAGAAACCTCCTGACCTCACTGAAGGGGAGCGGGTCCCCCCAGCGTGCTCGCTACAATGTTCACTTTCTCTCTCAGGGAAAAGGCCCAAGGCCAGCTGGTCCCGGCCGCAGGCGGACATCGGCACCTCGGGCTGGCCTGAACACCTCAAATAACCCAGTGTCTCAGACTCTCAGTCACTCGCTCTTTCTGAGCAGTCTGGCTTCCCGGGTAACAGGCTCTTCAAAAGAGTAGGTCCTGCAGACAGAAGCTGTCCGGCCCGATGACAAAGCAGTGATTCTGGCTGAAAAGAAGTAAATCCATATGCAATCTCTAAGCCAGTGCTTATAAAAAAAAAATAAAGACAATTTATTTCATACTCAGGGGTAGAAATCTTACTAAAAGTCTCTGGGGCTTTGCTGAGGAGCTGATGCTCAGTGCTGCCCATTTGAACATCTATGTGGAAGAGTTTGAGACCAACACGCTAGGTCCCACAGCAGCCCCCTTATCTTACCATTTCCTTTCTCACTGAACAGTTTTGCTTTTCAAGAAGTCACTAGTAAGTGATGATCCCCCTCTCCCCAAATAACCCTAGAAAGTAAGGCAAACAGACCACACACTTTTCCGATTCTCTTAGTACATTCTAGCAACTTTTAACAAGGCTTCGCGGTATAGGGAGGAGGATTAACCTAGGTTAAAAGGCAGTTTAGTGGAAATGACAAGCAGAAAGAAGGGTGGCAAGAATCCTTCCTCCCTCAATCACACGTGCTCCAGCGCTTCCAAGGTTTGATACTTCTCCACTGTCCTGAATAGTCTGTCATCGCCAACGACAGAGGTGTGAGCTGGCTCTGGTAAGGTTTCATGCAGACTACTCGTCTGACAACTTACCATTAGAATTTACAGACGATCTTTGCTCTGAATAGTTAAAAAATATTTCAGACAATCTTACCCAGATTGAGAGTCTTGTCCAATTTAAAAGAGAATTATTAACACTGAAAAAAATCCCTGCAAATTCTGAAAAGACTCTCTAGCCAACTAAAACATATGCAATCTGGAATCTTTAAAATATATGTTTTATTGATCTATGTAAGCAGTTTCAGTTTTAAATTATTATGATCAAAATTTGGCTTTATATCCATTTAGGCATTTCCATCAATCTCTAATGCATTGATCAGCTATGTCATATAACTATAAAATCTGGCTTAATGGTTGAGTTAGACAAATAATGTACATGAACACTCAGTGTAAACCTGGTCCACAATGGTATTCAAATATCGGTGGACTGATGGAAAAAAAACTGCCATATTGCAGTTAAAACTAAGGCAGAGAGAAAGATAGAAACTGCTTCAATCTGGATATTCCACTAGGGAAAAGCAATTCACCTACAATACACAGGTAACACACACAGCAAGTGACAAGACAATTAACTGCTCTCCAACTACAGGTGTACAACGCTAACCCACCTGTCTTTCTTCTTCAACCCCTATCTTCTATTTTCTTGCCTCCTCTGCTTCCAGGTATTCACTCCTCCTCTCACTCCCATCATTTGTACCTTTTTTTCCAAATAATCCCTGTTTTTTGTCAATTCAATTTCAATTCAATTTTCTGTGCTTTTTACTCCCTCTCCCTTTGACTCTGGACTTCTCTGCCCTCAAGCTGCCTTGCAGAAGCTGCAATTCCTCATCTCTGCATCTCCATCAAATCTCCCTTTCCTCCCTTCCCATTTCTTGGATGAGTTTTTCATGTTTTCTACTCTTCAGTTTCTGTTTTCCTCTCATTCTCCTTTCCCTCAGCATCTCTCCCCTTTCAGTACCCCCCACCCCAACTGACTGTTGTGGCCACCAATAACATGGAGAACTTGAGCAATTTTTCCTGTTGCCACCATTTGGTCATAGTGACAAAATATTATCTTACAAAAATAACACAGAGGGAGAAAACATGCAATGCATTGCTAATATATAAAAATATTTTTAGTTAGTATAAAGAATTACATATACTTGCAAGAAATTGGAATCATTAGTTGGCAGGGAAAAAATAAAACCTAACTTTCATAGTTTTTATAAATTTGTATTTCTAATTACTAGTTTAAAATAATATGACAAGTCACTACATTTTAAAAGTTAAACTCTCTTTTAAAATTGAAATTGGTTTAACAAAAAGTAACTCTTCTAGCATACAATAAAATAAAGATAAAAAAAACTTGAAACGTGGGTACCTAATTATGGAGTACAACATATTGAAGCTATAAGCAAACTTGTTTTCTTTTACACTGAAATCCAGAATCCGACCTCTGCTTGTCACATCAGTCAGCAACTGCTCAGTGAAGAGAGAACTCCTGCCAGCCTATAGCTCCTGCCACCGAATATGAGGGTATCACCCCAGCATAAAGAAAAATGAATGCAGGAACACGGCTGAGGGACTGGGGGACAAAAAAACTCTTCCTCTATACAGTTTCATCCATCGGTATATAAAAACTAAATTTGACTTAATAATTAGAGCCTTCAATGCTCAGAATTTTAATGAAAACTATTATCCTATTATAGATGAGATTTATAAAGTATTAAAGATCTATTTATATGGTATATGATTCACACACATCTGTCTAATATAAGTTCTTAAGTTCCACAGTATCTAAACATCTCAAGATTTGGGTCTTTAGACATGTATCTAATGTAACATGCTAACCTTTTATAAAAATTACATGCATAAACTTTTTGAGATTAATTACAGCCTATGAGAAATGTCTTACTGCTATTTTAAAAAATTTTCACCAAGATAACTTTCACTCAGATTCCCCATTTTTACTATATGTGTTCTCTTTTCTCTATATATGTCACTTTAAAAGTCTCTTAAAAACCATTTCGCAGTGAAGTGGTAGATATTCAGAAAGGTGACACGTAGACATTAATGATGAGGAAAAAACATGAAAATGGTATAAAATACTTGCTATAGTCATTTTTTTCTCATAACACAGCCTCATATTTTAAAAAGCAATTTATTCTGATACCACATTACCTGTGCTCCTCACAGAAGTCATCAAAGAACCCTGACGACCTTCGCATGATAACGTCAGTGAAGAAACTGTTTAGGCTCGGCACTTTTTAATATTTCAACTCAGAAAAATCAAGATAACTAGCAAGGTAACACCAAATCAACCATAAATTTGGGAAATCCATCAAACTATTATGTTACCTTGAGAAACAAAACCACATAGAACAAAAGGTGGAGGGAAAAAAATTGAACACGGATGGACAATTCAGGCGCAGGTTTACTCTACACAGTTAGGACACATGTAACTGAAGCATCTTTTCTTCACATAATACTCCTTTTCAACAACACAAAATGATAAGGAAAGGTTTATCTACAAGTGAAAAGATGGAAATATTGATAAACATACTGTGCACAGCTCTTGAAACTACTGTCAGTGTAAGGCAAAACAAAAAATTTAATAAATCATCCTATCTGTGATGAGAACATGAAAAATAAATTAGTATTCAAGGCTTTTGGAATTAAGCATAAAGCTCGATCAGATTAGATAACTGATCTAACAAAACTATAAAAAAAACTATGTATTTCTTTACTTATTAGTGCTAGCAGTCGACTTTTAAGCCCCTTGCGGTTGCATGAAAGAGAGTAGAGGTTTTCTGAGCATTTCTTCCTAACACCCTGACCTCTCTCCCTCCCACCTATTTCCTCTAAACCACTAAGCTTAACTTTCCCCAGCGACTTCTATCCTCTGTTCAAAGCCTTCCTTCATGTTCCAATGCTCAATGACTACCCTCATGTTGTAACACTCTATTCTCACACCTTTCAGACCTTTTCAAAACCCATTCTGTCCTCCAGTTTTCCAAAATACTTTGGGATAACTTTTTCTAATACACATAGTTTAGCCCACGTTCTCCTGAAAAGACACGAGGAAGCAAAGACGGTAAGTTAGCATGCAACATGGACCACAATTTACACAACTGTAAAAAAAAAAAAAGTACAGATAAACTTTTCAGGGTTCACTGATGATTTTAAAATGTAATATTCAAGAAAGGGCACATAGGTTTTGTAGTTAAGCACTCAGTATTAGAAGCTGTATACATATTAGTATTACACGTGATGACGCGGATCATTATGAAGCTGACAATGGTGATGACGGTGACGATGAAGGTGGCATGACCTCATTCAGTGATTTACAAACTTGTGGAAATTCTTCCTTCCAACAACATCACAGATAGAAAACTGACACGTGAAGTGTGCTGGATTGAAGCTCCTCCAGTTCTGAGGCGGGGGCGGGAGACCTGGGCTGTCACCCCACTGCCCCCTGCCTCCTGGAAGGCCATCAGGCACCTCTAAACAAACTCTGCCGTTTGGAGGAACAGAATTGAAAAATTATTGGTTTAACTGATTTGAAACTATTTGGAAACTTAATTCACAGAAGCTCAGTGGGACCTCAGGCATAATTTAGCTTTTATGTTTTTAATAAAAGGGGCATGTTAATCATTGAAGAACCATAAACTATGGAAACCCAAGAAATCTGAGAATTTTAAAGGCTGGAGAGAATCCTAATCCTTTCACACTTTACAACGTGAGGCTGAACTGGCTCCATCAGAGGCTAACTGGCCCAGGTGCCCACGCGTTCCCAGCAGCAGGACTGCGGAGAGAAGCCAGGGCGGCTGCGTTATTACCCTGCCAACACCCCTTAAAGCGGATTGCAAGTACTTCAGGTGCTGCTCAGATATGACGGTATTCTACTCAAATTCTTCCTCCCTGCAATAAGCACTAGTTCTAAGCACCTTTGGAAACATTTTGAAACCTCCTGCAGAAACTGTAAGTTACAGACACAGACATGACAAACTTACAGAGTTTAAATCTAATCTGCAGAATTCAGGAGCCATTAACATGGTAAAAGCGAGCTCACTGAGACTCCAAACCCACAGACCTGTATTTGTATAGATCAGCAACGGGCCACATCTTTTTGCTGTTGTTGACTGGGGTTCTGGTTTTAGTTTCCCCTCAATCCCGACTGCAGGGGAAGGACAAATGAAGTGATATTTAAAAGTGCTTTGAAACTAACCCTGTGTTAAATGCTAGTTTCTACGCAAGTTTTTTTTTTGTTTTTTTTAATTCCTATCTAGTTATTTCAAGGAAGATTCTGGACAATTCTGCTTTTTGTTCTGGAAGCTGTATTTAATTTTTAAATCTGAACTCACATTATCTTTGAATTTGATTTCTCCTCTCTATCCTTTCAAGGAGTTGAGGTATGCTAAAATTCTCTATGGAGTTCTAAACTAGAATTTTAATTTAGACAAAAAGGAAGAAGAACCACAGTTACCACGTTAGGAAGTTCAGAATGTGAACGCAGCTCATCTCCTCACCTTCAAGGTACGAGACGGGAGCTACTTCTCTACACAGACAGGCCTTGCGGTGATTTGGTAAAGACGCCACAGACAACCACACAATGTAACTCTAAAACTGTTCTGTTCAAGTATAACTAATTTAATGTCAGTAAAATAACTGCCAAGTAGGAACCATAAAATGAGGTCACTTGCATTACAAAATGCAGAAATTAGAAAAGCCAATTTTGTTTTAAATAACAAATGCATCACTTCCCGGAATAAAAAATTTAGGAAAAAAACACAAACTGCATATATTGTGTACGTAATGTTACAATATAAGGTACAGTAATTCTGGAATTTTTATAATAAAAATTACACTGAAATTGTAAGAGGAATGGAAAAAACTCTCTCCCATTTTTCCCCAAATATTGTTACAGATCTAAGGAGATTTGCTGTTATTGAGTTAAGGGACAATCATTTTGTATTTGAACAAATGGCAGCGTCTTGTAAGTAAGTAACCATGTTCCTCAAATATAACCAAGGCACCCACCCGAAAGACAGAAATCTCACCCCTTTCTCACTTGTACTGACCTCCACCTGAAATCTCTCCACATATCTTCTGGAGAAAATAAGAATTTTGCTGTCTATGAAAATCTAAAAATTTCTGCAAAGGTTTGACTGCTGCTGGAAAAAAAGTTTACCAGATGTAATATAAATATCAGATATACCATACGTGAATAATTATTTTGGGATATCCAAATCTCTGAAAATAAAACTATCATATGTTTAAGGTGTAAGAATGGAATATCTTATGAAAAATTACCTTAATAATTTATGATGAGGTTATTTGAGAAGTTAAACTAAAAGCAATATTACTTTCTCCCCTTTATGAACATGAAGAAACATACAATGAGGGAATGAAGAACAAATCTCCACCTCAAAATTAAGTAAGATTACCTAGAATGAAGAAGCAAGTGAAAGGAACCAGACACTAGTGTTTGTGTGTTTCCCTTACTTGACCAACCTTTAGTCGGTGGAAAAGGATGAGAAGGGAGTGAGTCTGAGCAGAGCTCCAGTGGAAACTGCAGGAGTTCTTCATTATCTGTAGAGGCTTGAGAGGCAAGAAAAACACTAGTTATTTAGTAATGATCTATTATTGATTTTTTAAATGTTAAGAGTCTAGGATAACATATATATTTTCCCCCCAACTCGATTATTCTGGTCATTTTCTCCTTGATGGGGTCCCTTCCCCTGCACGACACTAAGAGTGGTTGCTATGTTCCCTGGTAGGACTGCTGGAGATTTAGAAAGGACAATGTGGACAAACCTCTTAGCACAGTGCCTTGCAAACAATAAGCAGTATTATTACTTAAGCAAGTTTATAAATAAGCAAAATCATTCTACTCAATAATCATCCTACTCCTTGTACTGTACTAGTTCTAGGAAACTTAAACCAGTTATTGTCTATCTTCTCCAATAAATATCTGAACACATAATCATTTAATGTATCTATTTGACATTAATTCAGTGCTATCCATGCAGAATATATTCAACTTAAAAAACTAAGGGTAACCATGAATATTTATTTAGCCAATAAGTCATTAAACTTTAGAAAGTATACTATTTCCCTCTCCTTTTTTTCCAAAACGCATAAATGGTGTCTAATATTTTGGGTTTCTTTGGAACATATTAAGAATGATGCTTCCTAAATTTTACTGGATAGAAGGACAATTCTGAAAATCTGCTGAACACTTTAGGACCTTTCCTGAGAAAAACCCATGGTGCTTACTGCATCGGTAGGTTCTTAGATGTCTTTGAGGATCTCTCCAGAGTTCCCAGGATGGGAGCCTCTAAATTACTGAAAAATTAATATGCTATATAATGTAAGTCTAAAAACAGCAGCATTCTCTATGTAAACATCAGTCGACTACCTATTCGTGTGTGAAAAAGATCACGTCAGCCATATGCTTATCCACATGGTTATCTCAATAAAGATAAACAGAAATGTGCCAGCATCTGGTCAAGAAACAAGCCATTGACTTATTCTGCCGATCCTCCGTATTTCATCACTGAACTACCACATCGACAGGCATGAGCTATGCTTCCACGCATCACAGGTTTACCTCTTTGCAATGACTTCTCAGCGTGTGTTTTTGCGGTTTGTAAAGCCTGATTTTTGTCAAAAGTTATTGCAACTGCTGTGACGGTAACCTAGAATCACAGAAACAGTATGATTAGCAAAACAATCACTCCCCAAATGAGCTCCTTACAAGTATTTTTCAGTGCCATGGAACAACTTAGACACTAACTGGCTAACGTGCCTTTTCACACATAAGTTCAGATATTCAGACCACAGCTAAGCCGAACATGTATACCTAAACCTAGATACTCCAGAAAGAGCTCAAGAACCTTCTCTAAAAGATGGGGCCTGGAGAAACCCCACAGAAGCACACGTGTGTATATGCTGGAACACACGTGTGATTCCACCTTCAGATAACCAGCGTTCACAAAAATGAATACCCAGTCTGACTCACACTAATATGTTTAAAAACACCTTATACTTATTTAATTATGGCAAACTTACACTATTAAAACCGATCAAAGTTAGACATCTTCTTTAATAACAGACTGACTCTTTAATTACCTGAATTAATTCATCTTCTGGGAGAGACACTGTGAAATTTACATGGCAAAGGCAACAGGGGATCATAGACCGTAGCTTAAAATACAGGCTCTAGACAAAAAGAAAATATTAGGAACATCACTTCTTTTAATTTAAACATTTATAAAAACTGATGTTTAATGCATATTATGGCAAATGAAGTTTAAGAGATTAAAACGCTCCTGTTTTGTCTACTCTTACATTAAGAATACATTTTTAATATTTAAGTGGACAATAAGATTTAGTCACATTTGTAAGTCATTAAAAAAAGAAAAAAGGGTTTTTAAAACTGACACATCTGGATTTTTATCAAGCTTAAAGTTACGAAATAACTTAAAGTATATTTCTTTTAGAAGATGGTATATTAAGATGGAGAGGACAACTTTAGCATTTTACTTGACAGCAGATTAAGATTGATCAGTAAATAAAAATAACTTGGCCTGTAACTGTGTAAGGTGTTCCGGCCCACATAACCCCTTTCTTAAATTTCACGATGCTCAGGAGCGTCTAAAATACAGTTAGTAAGAAGATTCTTACCTTAAGCAAATTTTCACAGAGATCATTGAAGTTCTTATTGAGAGCTTGATTCGTCAGGTTGAGGCTGCTTAATCGGATTACTCTCACTGATGTGAACATCTAAACACAGGGAGACACAAGAGCACGTCTATTACTTTTAACTAAATACTGTTAATAAAATAAACAATAATAACTAATGCGATATTAAAAAAAAAGAACACTTTAATTACAATAAGGAGGCCAAAAGGAAAACACACATTAAGAAGAAAATTGCCAAAATCACATACACTGTATTTGCTTAAAATTAAGAAAGGTTTACCTGTATTTCAGATGTCCAATTATTTATACCAGGCATAATTTCTGTATTACAACTATAAAAGCCTGTCAAAATAAATTATAGTTAAAACATA